TGCAGCCCCCCCTCGCCCTCCTGCAGCCCCCCCTCGCCCTCCTGCAGCCCCCCCTCGCCCTCCTGCAGCCCCCCCTCGCCCTCCTGCAGCCCCCCCTCGCCCTCCTGCAGCCCCCCCGCGCCCTCCTGCGGCCCCCCCTTGCCCCTCCAGCGCCGCGAGTGCCGCCGTCCCTTTCAGCCACGCCTCGTCGGATACGGGGTACTGCCTAGGGATTGGTGTCCCCGCACGCGCAGCAGCGTCCTTCTTCAAGTGGGGCACCTTGTAGGTGTTGTCCCCGTCGCAAAGCAGGATCTGCTCCATGCAAGCCTGGAGAGAGGTCCACACCTTGCCTAGCTTGGCCGTATCCGTGGCCGCCCATGCGACCTCGACCTCGCGGAGGAGGTCATCTATTGTTCTGGCGCAAGTGCGGTCCTGCAGGGACTGGATAGACGCGAAGAAACCCAGGTCCAGGATGTTGGTGTCAGGGCTGTTGGGTGGCTGGTTGATGAGGCGGATGTCGAACCCGTCCGATGAACACGCCTCCAGCAAATCCTCCTCGTCGTTGACACGGTGCGGCTTCGCGTTGTCCTGCTGGATGAAGATGGTGTTGCGCCGTGTCGCAGCCGGCCACTTTTCCTTGATTGCAGGGATCACGCCGTTGATGAGCTTCTCCTTGTAGGTATCCTTCGTAACCTCCACACACTTGGTGACCATAGTCCCAGCAGCACGGTTCCGGCTGTTGCGTACTGCTGGCACCCTCTCGGTGAAGGCCCACAAGCCGATCTTGCCATCGAAGACGGAGTTGGTGGCCGGGTTGTGCCGCGGGCGAGCAACAGCAGCAATGAACATGATCTTGGTGATGAATCTCTTGCTCTGGACCTTACGAACAGGGGCCTCTTCGCCGTCGTACAAGTAGAACTTCTGCCCATCTTTGAACAGATAGAACCACTTCTCATCCACATGCACGAAGTCCTCAAAGTCGTGGAGTACTCGGGCGCTGCCTGCCCTGCGCGCAGAAAGCCACCGCAACACCCATTGCAGCCTTTCTTTCATACCGTCTGGGGTGAGGTACGGCTTGAGCGCGTTGGAATGCGCTCTCAATCCAAGCGCCTTGAGGTTGTTGTGCAGTGTGGATTTGGGAATCCCGAGCGCCGCGGCCAGGCGGCGCTGTGTCGTGCGTTCGTTCAGCGGAATCTCAAGGAGGCGGGCACGTAGGTTCTCAATATCGATGCCCTTGCAGCCGGAATGGCCCTTGCGGTCGTTCCCAATGTACAAACTAGGATCTCCAGATTCCTCCCGCTTCTCGTGCTTCTGCCAAATCCTCTTTATGGTCTCCCAATGGCACCCGTACTTCTCCGCGGCTCTGTGGTACGAACCATGCTGCCGAACCCCGTCTTCGCTGTCGGCGAGAAGGTAGCGTACCACCTCTTCTCTCTCCGAAACGTTGAAATTCTTGCGTTTGAGCCCCTGGGAGGCACTCCCAGCAGCAGACATGTCCCGCCAGCAGACGGGAAGGCGTTTGACCGGGGCTCCAAAGTTGGGGTGGTGAAATCGGGCGTGTTGTGCTGGGGTGCAACACACTTTGTTGAGGTGGTGTGAAAAGAGCAGCGGTTCTGCGCGCTGCGCGCCAGTGCGGCGGAACCAGAAAAAAAAACCGTTCGGAAAAAGAGTTCGGCAGACACGAGTTCTATTGCTTTTTGTCCAAACCTTGCTTATATTCTCGGACAGAGGGAGTATTGACTTGCGGACCCCTCGGGGCCATTTTATTAGTTACCTTTTTAGGGTAAGTTAGCCTGCGACCACAAGAATCGACCGCGTCGAGTGTTGGATCAGTACGGGCATACGAAGGTACTGGGTAGCTAGAGATCGGAATGGTTTTTAATGTGAAGACAACAACAACAAACAACAACCCCTCGGGGCCATTTTATTTGAGTGTACCTTTTTAGGGTAAGTTAGCCTGCGACCACAAGAATCGACCGCGTCGAGTGTTGGATCAGTACGGGCATACGAAGGTACTGGGTAGCTAGAGATCGGAATGGTTTTTAATGTGAAGACAACAACAACAAACAACAACCCCTCGGGGCCATTTTATTTGAGTGTACCTTTTTAGGGTAAGTTAGCCTGCGACCACAGGAATCGACCGCGTCGAGTGTTGGATCAGTACGGGCATACGAAGGTACTGGGTAGCTAATAGAGATCGGAACGGTTTTTAATGTGAAGACAACAACAACAACAACAACAACAACAAGAACAACAACAACAACAACAACAACAACAACAATCCTCCCGAGCCGGTACCGAAGGGGCCTGGCATGTGTCTGACATGCTCCTCCGCGGTCGGTCCGCAGTCGGCAGCCATGGATACGAAATATACCATGGATATGGTATTGGGAGGTTCTGAGACGTTCCGATGCTATTATTCGATGTTCTGCCGTGCGGTGATTCACAGAGTGGAGGTCGATTTCCGCTCGATTTCCGCCGTCCGTAGTGGACAAAAGTGGACAAATAAATGTGGGTACAATTTGGACAAAAGTGGGTCAATATATAGACATGGACTAGGTGGGTACATCAAAAAATTAGTTGACGCCGGTGGGTCTACCCACCGCGATGTCGGACAGAAGTGGGCACTCTGGTGAGGCCCTGCGCGCCTCGGCGGTATTAGGGTCAAAGGTGTGCCTGAAAGTGGGAAAAAATCGATGCCCGTGCTGTGTATGGTCCTTGGCTGTGTCGCGCAGAGGTCAGAATGGGGTTTTGAGTCGTTTGGGGGCCGCCTATGGAGTGCGTGCGCGCGCGCTGGATTTTCGAGTACCCACTTTTGTCCGAGAAAGGGGTGGGTATACCCACTTATGTCCATTTCCCTTTTTTTTTTCTTGACATGTTTCGCCCTTCCATGTCCTTTTTATCGGCACTCCCATATGTATGTAGTCCCTCTGTGATGCTGTGTATACATTCCCCGAATTACGGCCCCTTCTTCAGGGGGGGCGATTACGCCCCACGTCATTGTTTCTCTGCTTCGTGCGAAATGTGTTCATCTCCCCTTTGCTGTTCATTCTGATGGGGGGTTTTTTCTTGTGAATGGGAAGGATGCGGAAAGCTGGGACCGAACGGAAAGGACTGCATACCGAGCAGCCGAACATACGCAAGGACTAGTCTATGTTCGGGAAATGGGGGGTGTAGACGTTGCCGACCAACAGAAAGGATCGCACACACAACCCTAAGTCATACAACAATCACTGGCGACGCGTGATGGAGGGAACAGGCCTTGACCAGCGCTTGTCAGACTTGGACGATGTGGGTTCGTATGTTGCACAGGGAGGCGCAGGACAGCCTCGCAAAAGAACGGATGAATGCCTCGCTTGACAGCGTACAAGCGTTTGGATGGTGCAGTGTCGGAGTTGATAAGGCTGCGAGAGTAAAGCGAGCTGTTTGGGACGAGGTGATGGCGACGTTTCTGATGGCCAAGTAAGTGTAGCGAGAGTATTGCTGGCAAGGGCGGGAATAACGGAGACGCCCGGCCGATGCGAAAGAACCACAGCGGGTACCCGTAGCAGTAGTCTAAGGTACTGGACAAGGGTCTCAGAGCTGCAACTAAAGGGTTGTGAGGAACTCTGAACAGAGGGCACCGGCCTCAACGGAGACTGGGGAGTTGGAACCTTTTGAAAGGTCCTCTCCGAAAGACCCCCCTCCTTTCAGGAGCCTCTCTTTTTTGCTAGGGAAGGCTTTTAGCGGTAACCGTAACCCGACCGGCTGGCGTTGGGTCGAACCACTTCCGAACAGTACTCCTCGGCGCGAGTTTTACGGGTGGGTACCCTACATGCCCACCACGGCATCAGAAGTTCCTTCCACAGCAGTCCACATGACAACGTGTCTTTGCTTCCTTCCACCGCCGATTCTGGCGGTCCCACAGTTTTAGGTGGGTGGCGGGGTGTGAACCCGCGAATCATCTTCCACCAAAATCAGACGTCTCACCAAGACGGTAAATGTGAAAAAGAGGGAATATTCCCCCCTCCATTCGTGAGTTGGGGCAGCAGTGCTACAGGCCACCTCCATCACATACAACAACCCGCATAGACCTCCCTCCTCATAAGGGGCTTAATATCCGCACCGCTTGGATTCGAGATATGCGTTTATTCATGTCCTCCTACATCATACTTCTATTCTAGACAAAAACTCCCCCTCCCTGTTCGCATTGTCCCCACACGACCATCGGCGATCGGTCCTGTTGGAACAATGCTCCTTCCGTCCTCTCGAGGACGCGCCGTCAATGGGCTAACAACAAAGGCGTTGCAAGACACGAGTGCTCCCCCCCTCCCTCCCCTTCGCTTTAGCCACACATCAATGCGCATTCCTTCCCTAAAGACCAAATCGCAGGACGCCTTTGTCGCGGGCCTCGAAATGCGTGAACACGATTTGATTTGTCAATGTGCTGGTTTTCATTGGCGCCAGCGGTAGCCTACGAGCTGGCATCTACCCCGATCGCCGCATCCAAGGCGCGTCTGAAGACAGGGGAGCGTTACACAGCACGCGGCGGCGGCGGTGGCAGCAGCACGTTGACACGGGAGGGAAGGGTAGAGCCCAAATCATCACTCCATGAGGGCGAAGAACGCATTCGATTGACTAGACGTTCTTCTCGAGGACAGGCGGAGAGATGCAAGGAAACAAACGCTGACATCAAGGTCCTGCCTACCAACGAGGGGTGAATCGTCCGCTGGTTAATGCCAAGCAGAGAAAATACTAGTCCTGACTACCAACGAGGGGTAAATCGTCCGCTGTTTAATGCCAGGTCGCGAAAATACTAGACGCACATATTCGCTCCTAAGCAAGACCCTTACCTCCGGAAATCTTGCTCGGACATGCCCACCGCAGCTCCGTTGAGGGTCATAAGGAACTCCACCGCACTCCTAAGGGCGACGAAGCAGTACCCCGGCCTACTCATGAGCACGAGCAACAAGCAAGAGGTGGTGAGTACACAAGCCCAGGCGGCGTGTGAAAGAACGTGGTGATGCACGCAATTGAAGAAAGCAAAACAATGAGCGAGCTAGAGCTACAGGCTTTTTGTCCTTCTTGTACTTATATAGCAGCATCCATCACTACTGCCGTACCTTTCTTTTCGGCTTGATATGTGGCCCTTCCCCCATGTCGCAATTTCCGCAAAACGCGCTGAATTGTATGCATACTCGTGAACCGAACGAATGCCCTGTGCTTAAGTCAACGTCAAAGGCCTCTCGCCAATCGTTCGACGCGCTCGAAAACGCGCCTCTGCGGATCTGCTGAGTGGCTCCCACACCGGTGGCGGCGTGGGCATCCAACTATTACAGATAGGTGTGTAGGCTGGTACGATTCCGAGAGCACTTTACCTAGACATGAGCGCCACGGGGCTGTGAAACGCCTGGACGTACTCGCACATGGAGTGAAGCCTCGGCACTCTCGCCCGTAGCACCACGTAAATCAATACCGGCAAGAAGTCATCCGCGGTGCCGGCGGGATCATGCTCGGGCCGCCAGGATGAAACATACATGTCTCCTCCTCCTCCTCCTCCTCCTCCTCCACCTC